AAAAACTATGCCCAACAAAATGAAGTTTGTGGGGATTTTTTCTGGTAAAACCACAGCTGAGAGTGGGGATTTGTTATCTATCAAGGGAGGCAGTTCCGTCTTTTATAGTAGATGCTTGATAATTTTGTTGGTCATTTATTCACTAGTTTCACATGACATTAAATAGGAACAGGAGCAGGCCCACTTTCTCATCTGTGCATACCCAGAAACTCTTTTGTAGTGTTTTGTAGCATAGAAAAGAAATCATTCCGAAAGAAATTGTTACAATAGTACATACCTAGGTAGGAAAATTGAATCTATCATTGTCTAGGAATGGCTTAGAGGGAGAAGGATAACCAGGCGAACACTACTGTTGTCACATTATCTGAATCTCAATGTCATATTCTTGTTCTTAAATGGGCCTCTTTAATCTCTTTTAGGTTTTGCTCTAGTTCGGATAAAGATCCGTGTGATTTGATTTGTACTATACTAAAATACTTATATATCTGGATTTTAGGTATATAATATTTATATACGGCAAAAAAAATTCATACACATGCCTAGTAGATGTAGATGGTGTAATTGCACTAAACGACCATTTGCAACACTTGTTAGCTATATTTTTCCAACGGGATGACATGTATTTTATGTTAAAGTTGCAAGTTTGATGTAACACCCATACCACACATTGCATGTAACACATACTTCATACACAAGAAATACATGTTTATACACCACATTGGTCCTTTAGTACAAGAATCTACCAGTACTGAATACATGGTCCAAAAATTCAAAATACAATTCTTGTACTATTCAACTTTCATTAAACCAAAACTATACACGCCATAGCCAAATCTTCCAGCAAATATGCACATAGGAAAATATTACATTTTCCCTTTCCCCTTATCGTCAGAACCTCCTGCAATACATATTTAAATTCACAAAGAGAGGATTAGACCGAAAGGTTTAGTGAGTTCCGTTTTTATGTCATTGCAGGGTGAGAAATCACCAAAACTTTTTTTAAAGCAACTTCTATGAACAAATAAAACATAAACCAATACCTTTTCAACTCTAAAGCCAATTTCTCAGCTTTCAAATAACATATCCAAACCCAAACAGGTTTATCATAATGCCACTTTTAAATCTTTTAAATTAAACAAGGTTTATTCAAAGTTTCAGGCAAACCTGTTATTCTCTTCACAATAACATTCAGACTATGATTTCCAGTAAGAACTCTGATTCTAAATCCTTAAATCACAAAGAAATAAAGATCCCAAATCACAGTAATCTTAAAGGATATGATAGTAAGAGTTATAATTGCTCGTCGGTTTATTCAACCTTAGATTTCAACACAAAAATAGAACTTGGCGCAAGTATACACCTTGAACTACTGTCGTCTCGTAACAAGTAATAATGGTATAAGTACCAGATATCGTTCCCACAGAGATAGCTTGTAAAGTTATTTCAAAAGTCCAGTCTATAAAAACTAGTTTCAGATGGCGAAACGAGGGATTTGATTTATCCAAAATTGGGAAGTTTGATTAACAACTAATAAAATATCAGTCTATAAAAAGAAGCACAGGGTGCAAAGGTAGATCAAGACATTAAACAAATGATTCATCAAAAAGGTGACATAGCATTCCTGTCACGATTATCTAAAATCAATAAATGATTTTATATAACTGTCACAGTATCAACTATCGGGTCAGACGGCCTCCCAAGAGTACACACCGGTCAACATGCTATCGATACGATATCATTTATGTTAGACGTCGTGAATCCTAGCACAACACGGTGTTACCATCCTACACCGTAGGAGTATAGCATTTGTCATATACTAAAGCTATTTATAGCCTTCTCCTATTATCTCTGGTTTTGAATTCAATACATTTTTATACACAAAATCAGTTGTCAATTAATTTTAATGTAATCCTCAAATGAAATATTAAGCACTTGAAACAAATAGTAGACTATAATGCTAATAAGACACCTTTGTACTTTCACATCGGCTTTGGTCTTAATTTCCCGYTACACCCCAAGCTAAGGCGTTTAGCCCATCATTGCTCGGTTTCTTCTCTCGAAGGATGTAAGGACTGAAAAATAAATAACTGATACGGAAAAGTAAATTGCAGAAAGTAAATTGCAGAAATTAAATTACAAGAAATTAAAATACTGGAATTTAAAGTACTGGAAATTAAATGACAGAAGTATAAATGACTGGAAGTAAATTGCTGAAAAGTAAATTACAGAAAATCAAATTGCAGAATAGTAAAGACAGAAAAATAAAGACTGAAATATAAAGACTGAAATTAAATTACTGATAAATAAATACTACTAAATTAAAATTAGTCTAAGACATGATGTAAAGTAAGTACTTGATGTATTAAGATGTGACAACTGAAAACTTTGAAAAGAGGAGTTGACTTTGAAGAAACTTGCAAGGCAAGTAACGAAACTTGCAAAACAAGTTTCGTTGCTAAGACCGAAGAGTTACTTGCAAAGTTTTGAGAACAGATTATTTAGTCTGTGTAAATCAGTCGAGAGCCACAAAGGATGAAATCCAATGTAAAGCAACAGAAATCGACTAATTTGTAACTTGCAACGAAAGTCAGAAAACGTATTGTAACTTGGAAATAAGAACAGAAATGAGATGAAGATTTAAATATGAGCACTTGTATTAAACTTGAGAACGAAATCACAACTTCACAAAAATCGGTTCTTGGTTGGAAGCAAGAAAAACCGAAAGTATTAATCTCAAAAGCAATAGAGAGCAATAACTTCAAGATGCAAGTAATTAAGAGAGTAAGTAGGTAAGTGAGTAAGCAAGTGTGTAAGTAAGTGTTTAAACCAAAGCCTTAAGCCTCTATTTATAGGCTAAGGAAGCTTGCACATGAGGGTCTTCTAATAGGACAAAAGGGTCTTCAAACATGGGCTTTGACCGGGCCCAAGGCTTTAGATCCATCAGCTTCAAAAGGGCAGCCCAAGAAAATTCGGCCCAAACGAAAGGTGCAGCTCATGAACTGGTGCTATAAGACTCTGTCACATTTGCTCCTACAGGACTGCTGCAGGATTTGGTCCAAAAATCATCAAAAGTCTGCATAAACAGGGAATTAACATTAGATATGATATAATACTACTATTATATAGAAAAGACATAAAAAGACTCAATCAAGACACTAATGGGCAAATAAAACAAATGAAAATGGTTAAGAAAATGATGTAATAAGGTTAATAAATTAACACTTATCAATAATATACATCACACATACAAATGCCACCCTTATATCCAAAGGTACACCTCTCCTTGATATGCCACCCTTATCGCATGGTACACCTCTCCTTGATATGCCACCCTTATTTCCTCATCAAAACATTTAATTCCAATTAGAACAGACCGCAGCCATAAATGTTCTAATGGAATAACATCAGTTTAGATCATATTTAACCAAATTCCTATTCTTTAAAAAGAGTATTTAAAATGATAATTTATATAATCAATGCATAAATCCGGTCAACACAGACTTGGCCGGACTTCATCTCCGGTCAAGTCTTGGCCGGTTTAACTAATCCGGACAACGTTAAGTCTTTCTTGTCCGATTATCAATCCGGACAACACAAGTCCTTCTTGTCCGATTTATCAATCTGGACAACACAAGTCCTTCTTGTCCGATTTATCAATCCGGACAACACAAGTCCTTGTCCGGTTTACTAATTCGGACAACTCTCTCAAAACCTTGTCCGATTTATCACTAAACCGGATAACATACCAAGCGATTTAAAAACATATTCGGGTAGCCTTTTGATCGTATTCCAACTTTTCCGCTTAAAGACACTTAACAAAATTTCTTCAAAATCTTCCAACACATAAACCGGCTAACACTTCAATCGGATTATCTTTAAACCGGATGAGACTACGTCCTGTTTATGTTCAATCCGGTCAATCTTTGTCCGGTTTATACCCAAATCGGTCAACACTAATCCGATTTAAATCTAAACCGGATGAGAAGTTATAACACAATCAATTATGCCATTTCAAAGAGCTTTTAAAAAGTAACCACTCACCTTTGAGTCCGTTTTGAAATTCAACTTCCGAAATCTTGTCAATAAGCAATCCGATCAACCCTTCTCTAAATCGCTCACTTATGGTCTCAAAAATAGCAAGAAGAATGAAATGGAGGCTAAAACAGCCCCCCACTGACATGCATTCTCATCATTTTATGCATATATTATGCACAATATCACCCATACATGCATGTATATTATGTATTTTATATTTCATGCATTCATTTACTCATGCATACTCACATACATCCAATTCTCATGCATGCATCCATATTATGCATATATTTCCTATGCATAAAAATTCACATACTCGCATGATCAAATATAACAATTTATCATGCTTTCACGTAATCATATAACAAATAATCACATAATACTTACCTCAGGTGATAACCAAGATCCGGTTATCACATTTGAGATATAAAATTTTACAAAAATTCAGTTATAGTAGATTAACTGCCTTCAGGATGATTGAAAATCTAATGCAATATGGTTAAACATTAAATTTTATAATTTATAATATTCAATAAGATTCTGCTAGGTTATTCTTGTTTACTAGTTCAAGTGGACGAGTAGCTGCATCGAAAGTGCCTAACGCTAGGTTATTACGATGAATTAAGACTAATAAATATGAATGTGATGAGCAACAAGACGTAGGTACTTTGAAGCTACAAATGGACGTGTGTTACTGAGATCAAGGTAGAATGGGCATAGTGGTTATCATGAGGTTTCATGTTATAACCTGGTGTTGTCTCTTTTTTGTTGAAAATTTCAAGTTTGAGACATCTCTCATTAGTGAGACCATTTCTTGTAATTAAAGTTGATTACTGATTTCAGTGACAATGAAATCACATCAAAAGAGTATCTTCAATGTTAAACACCACATCACTTCTTCACTTGTACAATGGTCTGTAAGTTGCAAAAAAGCTGATAGGCAAATGCTTGTTTCTGGATTTTAGATGAAAGAGACTAGAGAAGAAATCACTGGTGATAAAGTATCCAGAACTTCATCTTTCAGCTCTGAATTACTTGTTTTAGACATAGAAAACTTCAAGGTAAAACTTCATGCTCTGTGTACGTGTGACCGTCTGTTCCACAGTTTATTTGACTAAATGATGTTGCTTTAATGTTCTATTTTATCGAAGGGGGACTTCTCCTTTGATGCTTTGTTTGGAAAGTCAGTAAATGGGCTGTTGCCATCTTTCCAAGATGAAGATGCTGACTCAATGGAAGGGATGATAAATATTAGTACGAGTGATGCTTTGCCAAGTGGGAGGTCAACACACATGCTATCTAGTCCTTTATTTCCTAAAGTAGACACTTTATTGGTAATATTCAAGGATTCATGTACGCAATTAGCCGAACTTCGGAAACAGGTAGACGTTGAATTTGCAATGGTCATGGATCTACTATTCTTATCAGCTTTTCCTTCTTTATTTTATTTTCAGTTTTATATGCATTTTATGCACTGAACAAGTTTACTACTTTCACGTATATCCCATGTCTGTTAAAGATCGATGGAAGACTACAAAAGCTTAAAAAGGATGTTGCTGCACAAGACTCTAAACATAGGAAGACACTGGGTGAGGTAATTTATTCATCTCATTTTCTAGAATTGGCTTCAACTTTTTATAATAGAAACTAACTTTTGAGATGCATTTTAATTGTTAAAAGTGGTCCATACATGCTAAGTTCCACAATAGATCAGTTTGTGGCCATACATTCATGAGTGATAAGAGCTATGTCAAGATATTCACTCACACCCTTGTATGAACTCCTTATAGTATGCATTATAGTATGTATATGATTCAGCTTGAATATGGAGCTTTAGAGATCGGTTCACTGCATCTCCTGGAGTTTTTTCTTTAGAGCTTTCATCCCTTATTTGATCTTATTTAGCATTGAGTTCAATGCTTCCTCATAAGATCTTGATTGTATCTCAACTTTCAGCTAGAAAAGGGTGTAGATGTAATATTTAATAGTTTTGCAAGACTGGATTCACGTATTTCTAGCGTTGGGCAGACAGCTGCTAAGATTGGGGATCATTTACAGGTGAAGTTTTTTAGTACCTGTAACTAATGCCTCTAATTATTTTCAGTGTATATATATTAACTGTGTTGTTGCCATGTTGCATTTCAACCTTTCTCTTTTTTATTACCAGAATGCAGATTCACAGCGAGAGGCTGCTAGCCAGACAATGGATCTCATAAAGGTATTTTAACTTCACGCAGTTGACATTGATTATCCTTTAATTGCAAAGTTATAATGTTCACATGTTTTGATTCGGTCCTGCAGTACTTGATAGAATTCAACAGTGACCCAGGCGACCAGATGAAACTTTCCTCACTATTTTCTGATGACAAGCGTGTTGCCGAGGCTGCTTCTATTGCACAAAAATTGCGTATGATGACATTCTGTTACAAACTTTTAACGTCATTTCCTTCAAGTATATTTCAAAACTTCCTATCTAGTAATGTCTTTTGGAAAGTGAACGCTTTTGTCTCTATCCTTCATTTTAGGTTCATTTGCGGAGGAGGATATTGGAAGGCACGGTGCAACCATGCAATCACTTCCAGGGAATGCAACTGCTAGTAAAGGACTGGAGGTTGCGGTTACCAACCTTCAAGAATACTGCAATGGTACTTTGTTATTATGTTTTGAAGTTCTCTTTTCCTGTGTTTATGAGTATAAAACCCATGACCTATCGTCTATACCTCACCTACTGCATGCACAATATCTCATTATGCTATGAATATTCACATGTAATATTTACATGCGACTTTGGACCACTGAACTATTCATCTCATGGTTCAGTTTAACAGGCCAAATGACTCTCTTAGTCTCTGCTGAAGAAGTGAAAGTTATTCATTTGTTGCTGAATAGATATTCAATCATGCTTATCAACAGTGAATCATTAGATATAGTCTCTGCTTATCAATTGATATTGGATGTGTGGCTAACTTCCTTATATTCCCTCCATCCTAATGCAAGTGTTCTCTTTTAATTTGTCACAGTACTTAAGAAAGGACAATTGGCCAAGTGTTGAGACCATATGTTTTGTTTCAGATATACCTTGCTATGCAGCAAAAAGTCAATTCAAGTTTCATTGCCCATTGTAGTAAAAATGTTGTGATCGTTTTTCCTATTGAAATCCACAGAAATGAATAACAAGTAACCTAATTAGGAAGGAGACTTGTTTTTAGTTGTCCCAGAAAGGAAAGTCACTTATTTTGGTATAGGGGAAGAAGGTAATTATTATTTGTTATTTTGCCTAACAAGCGAAGTGTGTTTGTGGTTAATGTCTATGTAGAATTGGAGAACAAGTTGTTGTCTAGATTTGATAACGCGACTCAAAGAAGAGAATTGACTAATATGGCAGAGTGTGCAAAAATCCTTTCTCAGGTATTGGTTTTGCACTTTATATGTTTGTCCAATTTGCAGGAACTTTTGCTTGATAAAAATGTTGAATTTAAAATTCATAGGATCCATCATTAGCATGCTCCAGGTGGTATTTGATTTGATTGTCAATTAAAGATTTAAAGAAAGTTTGGATAATAATAATATCAACATCAGATTGGCTTGCCATATGTGTATGCAGTTTAACAGAGGTACCAGTGCCATGCAACGTTATGTGGCTTTACGGCCAATGTTCGATGTAGAGGTCATGAATGAAGATTCTTGTTTGGTTCTTGGTGACCAGGATTCTATACCTAATCCAGCTGATGTCAGTCTTGAACTCTCAAAACTGTACAGACAGATAACAGGTATGGACGCTTCAAAATTTGTTTGAAAACCATAAGTTTAAAAGAAAGTTGGGCATTCTATATATAGAAATTATAATAGTTACAAGTGGCTTACAGATACTGTCCGAAAAGAATCAGCCACCATCAGGGCTGTATTCCCTTTCCCCAATGATGTCATGTCTATATTGGTTCAGGTATTTTCTTGTGTCTGTGAAGGGAAAATTATTATTTTACGCGAGTTATGATCTTGCAACTTTTTTGGTGTTTTCCCTTGATCTTGTTTTGTGACAGAGAATAATGGAGGACCGAGTTCCAAAACTTTTAGAGAAGCTATTGGTAAAACCATCCCTGACAAATCCACCTCCCATGAAACAAGGTGGCTTATTGCTAGTAAGTTCAGTGACTGGTACGTTTGATTTTTTAGTGTGGATGACTGATTGGACTTAAATTTCAATTTGCTTTTGTACTTATTTTGGTTTCAGTATCTCAGAATGCTAACAGTAGGATATGAGAAGACACAGGAACTTGCCAAAGATCTTCGTGGTGTGGGATGTGGTGACCTGGATGTTGAAGGTACAACTTCATGCTGCTTTCTCCTTTTTAGATGATACTGTGAGTCAACACCTGACAGTAGGTTTTACATGGTAAACATATTACGATGAATTAAAAAGAAATTTGTTACTAGTAACAGAAGCAGACTTTAATTGGAAAATAGAATGCTGGACTCACTTTTCTTATTATCTTAACAAGGCCACTCATGCTGGCAATCAAGTTTAGTTGCAAATCTTGTTATTAGCCTGATTAAGTTCTTACAATTGCAAAAATTAGACTTTGAGCTATTAAAACTTAATTAAGGTATGCGATCTATTATCTGAACTGAGCCTCTGAATATTAGTTTCGGCCACATCATGACAGTTTGGAAGTTAACCACTAGAGGCAAAACCCAACGGTGTCAACTTGTGGTTTAGCAGTCTTTTGCTGTGTGCCTTGAAGTGTTTAGATTTGAACTGCAGGCACTTAAATTACAAAATGAATTTTCTTGCATAAATATGGCCTTGATACGTTGAAATTAGAATATCTAATGCGAAGCTTACTAGTAGAGAACTTAGGAGAAAGAGTTCTGATATATCAGTACTTATGCATATCGAAGCAAACTGTAAGTGATAAGATAATAATGTAAATTCATATAATAGAACACATATAATAATATTTAACTGTTGGTTCAGTTTATTGGTGGTTTAACTATACAAAAATTGTGGAGTATACAAATGGAAATCTTCTTAGGGTAAACCGAACAGTTTAACTTCTTAGAATTGAATATTAAATATTCAAAATACAATTGAATCAATACTTAATATTAGGTGGAAAAAGTTATCAATCTAAACAAAAAAAAGTCTCTTCTTCTAATACTTCCAAACTTCTTACTGTGAGTATACTGATATACAATCAAGAAGTCACTCAAACAAGTATGGACACAATAGGATTGATGAAGTCATCATGTCATTGATTGAAATATTTGAGTACAGTAGAATCTAGAGAGAGAAACTATACAAGATCATATCTATCTAAGAGTTACAAAAAAGAGATCTAACTAACTTTCTATTTATATACAAGAACAGAGAAACTAAAGATACATGTAGTTACAAGACAAACTAATTACAACTTGATGTGTGCTCTAGTATCCTGGAGTCTTCGAGTCTTTAATCTTCTAAATGGAGAACATCTAAGAAGGAATTGCTAAAGTATCGAACTCTGGATAGAGTATCCAAAGTTAGCTCCGAACTCTGATAAAGCTGTCCGAACCCTGAAGACTTGTTACTTAGAAAATTCTTCTTCACTTCCAAACTCTGAACACACTGTCCAGACTTATTCTTTAACTCTGGCTAAACTGCTTCATAACTCTGAAGTCTCTCTCCAGACTTGGACACAGGCATATTTGAACCAACTTTTCAAGTTCTAACATTCTGCCCCTTTGGTTCAAATGTCATTATAGCCACAATCTCTCGATATAGGAATGAACTTCAAAATGATCAAATTCCTAAGTTGTGCTTGAATATTCAACCTTGTCCATTCAATCAGCTTCTTTCTCTTGGCAATTCTGCTTCTTTACCTTTCTTTGGTTTCTTTTTCAACTTCTTTCTTAATGCATCATTAATTTTCCTTCAAGTACCACAAGAGTATTTGGCAACCTCTGCAACTCTGAAGAATAGCTTTTGATTGTTCGATGTCAATCTAAACACAAAACCAACTACTGGATTTTCAACAACTGTTCCAGTATGCAAATCTTCAACACCACCAAGTGATGTATCTGGAGCTATCAAACACATTTTATTTCTCTTGAGAATAAATGCACCTTGGAAGTCAACCATTCCAGCCCACTTAGTTGCTCTGAGAATTCCATGCTTAATTTCATCAAGACCCTTTCTGAATTTAGATACTTTGTCTTCATAAGGTGCTAACTTGCAATATATCTCTCACATGTCTTGTAAGTGTAAGTTCTTGAAATCAGCTTCAGAGAACTCATAATTCATCCCATCTTCTCTTTGTACATCAAAAATAGTCAAAGTTCCTCCACTTCTTTTATCTTCATGTCATTGAATTTGACAATCTTCAAGTCCGAGTACACATTCTTTTTCATCTTGCCAATTCTCTCCATAAATTCCCAGTACTCCCTTCTAAACTTCTCTGTTTTATTGTTAAGTGTATCTAAGTATGATACAACTTTGAAATTCTCTGCAATTTCAAACATATGAAAATACTTGAATTCCAGAAACCATTTATTAGCATCAACGTCTTCATACTCAACATTATCTCTTTTTTTCAGATTCAACAACACATTCTTTGACATTTTCCACGGTCTTGTCTTTCTCAGCATCCTTCTCTTCAGATTTGCACTTGCATGAACAAAGAATTCATAAGGAAACACCATCTTCTGTTCAAAAATCTTCCTAGGATTAACTTCAGATAAGCAGAAATGCAAGTATTCTTTAACAACATTTCTCAATTCAAGTCTTTCTTTGATAGCTTTAGTGAGCTCATCTTTCACATGATTCATTTCAACTTCTGGAGTACACCCTTCAATCTTCTTTAACAAGTATTCTAAGGTTTCTGAAGTAAACCTTGGATTTTCTGAATACCTGAGAACCTTTGGTGAAGCATTAAAACTGAAATAGAAACTGAACTCTGGAATATCTGAAAACTTGTTCCCAAACTTGAATTCAACTCTAACAGAAGAAGGAAGCATCAAATTTGTTCTTTTCGAATTTTGATCTATCGCAACTTGAATATCATATAAACCCAGATTTTTGATATATACTCCCATAAATCTCCTTATTTCTATCTCTAGCCAGGGTTCATCCAATCTTTTAAAAAATTGAGTAGAAACAGCTGATCTCTGAGTTTTAATCTGTACAAATCTACACTTGAAAGAACACAAGACTTCTTATCTTCTCTGATAACTTTCATCCATGTAATCTGACATAGTAAAAAACTTTTCTTTTCAAACTCTACCACACTGACTATGGAATTGCTCAAACTTAGCATTGCATCATACTTTCTCAAATTACTAATCATCTCCGTATAAACCATCTGCATATCTCCAGGCCATGATCCATCCACTTCATGCTCTAATGAAGACTTTTCTTCTTCTTTGAGAACAAACAACTGGTCATAAACCATTAACTCTGTACATCTTCTAGTTCAATCTTGTCATTAAGATTCATAAACATTTCTTCAAAATCATCTAAATCTGTCAAGTCTCCTGATCCTTCAGAAATAGTCTTTGCATTCTTTTCAAACAACATATTCTCCAAAACTTTTCCTCTGATCATGAAACTCTGAATTGTACACAATCATGTCTCTACAAGTGTTTTCATTATTATTAGTCACATCATCATCAAAAACAAGCTTCCTTGCAACATTAGGGAACAATTCTCCATCACTATCATCTTCTTCAATCAATTCCACAGTATCTTCTAAAGTCTCTTTTTCAAATTCAATATCATCAACTTCATTATCAACTGTTTCAGTCTCTCTAGAGTTGGCATGAACAGATTCTTCCACACCCTTCTTTTTAACATCATCCTCTTGATTAACAACTCAACTTGATCATTCACTAATTCTTGCTCTTCGTTCCACCAGTATCACCGGTATTACTCATTACTACTTCATCATCCACAATCTCCTCTACTCTGAAGCTTGCATTAACATCAGTTTCACCAATCCTCTGTCTCTTTTGATTCTCCACCTCATGATCATCAGGATCATCCTGATCATCATGCTTCCTTTTGTGAACTTGACTCTGTTCTTTGCAATTCAGTTTATTCAAATCGATTCTCACTAGCCTTATCAAATACTGCAATCAGTAACTTGACCTTATAAACCATTCACTTGTTCAGAAGAGGCATATTTCTTAGATTCAGGGGGTTTATACATGTAGGCTTTGGGAATGGCATGAATTGGGTTTGCAGCAGATTCAGATGTGCTTTCTGGAATTTTAGGAATTTGAGCTTGTGTCTGGGCTTGTGGTTGTGTTTGAGGTTGAGTTGAAGATTGTTGCTGGGATTGATGCTTGGTAAGTTTATTGGATAAGATATCAACAAAGTTCTTGAGGATACAACTTTGAGAGGAAATGAAATCAGTCTCTGAAACTGCCTTGTCAATAACTGCCTGTAATAATCCTTTAGGGTGCGTTGGTGTCCAGACAGGACAGGACAGTTGTTCAGCGTTTGGTAAGACAAAATTGGACAAAACAGAACAAGTAAAATGACCAATTTACCCGTAATGAGCTGTTTATATATTTTGATTAATTAGAAAGTTCTCGTCAAAACAATTAAAATGAAACCAAAAATAAAAAGTTCATGTAGTTTCCAATTTTTATATTATCCCTAATCAACATTATTTTTTCATTTATTAATATATAATAAATTACATAAAGCTGTGTCCGAACTCTGAAAACTTGTTACTTAGAATATTCTTCTTCACTTCCTAACTCTTAACACAATGTCCAGACTTATTCTGTAACTCTGACTATACTGCTTCATAACTCTGAAGTCTCTCTTCTAACTTAGACACATGCATATTTGAACCAACTTTTCAACATCTAACACTTGCAAAGTTTCTTTTTACTATTCATGGTTTCAGTCTTTGAACCACACTTTACTCTAGGGAAGAAGATCCAAGTTTTTCATTTGCATTGACGTGGGAAGAAAATGTAATTCCTCCTCTTGTTTGTAATTTCGGTGGAAAATGTTCTTCTTGCTCTTTCCACCCATGCTGTTAAAGTTAATTTATAAATATCTTCTGATGGTCTTGCTACCCATGTAAGGTGATAGGTGTTTGCTGCTTAAAGGCAGGGTGTGAATTTAATATAATTGGAGGGGAACATTTACAGCAGCGGAGAGAGGAAAAGTGAAAGGAAAGAATAATATCATAGTCACTGTTCTCAAATTTTCCATGAGAAGAGATGTCATTCTCGGAAGGAGCATCAGAAGCCTCTCTCTTAGATCCTGCAATTAGAATCAGAAGAAACAAAAATTGTTTGGAGTATCTAGCTAAAGGAAAAACAAATCCGGTCATTGGTTATATATTTCTAGTTAAAACGGCTTAGATCTAATATATTTGTGGGCCATATTGATTTGAATTGTATAGTAAATACTTGCTAGACTTTTGGGTTTGCTAGACCTGTTATCATAAGACTGAGATTTGATTATTTCAGGCCATGAGGGGAGCTAGACTTCTTAGCACTAAAGGGTTCAGTAGTGAAAGAATTTTCATTTAATGCAGGGATTAGGATAAATATGGATTGCAATTCAATCTCAGGTATTACTGTTGTAATACCTATTTTCAGTTATGAGTTTAGCTCCTCTGTTTGAAAAAAACTTTTATGTTTGCTGGAAATTCTAATTAGTGACAAATCAGTTAGAAACAGATGAAGAGCACTAAAGCATACAAGAAGGCATACAAGAAGTGCTGCCTTTCTATCGAGGAAATATAAAACTAAAAGGGATATGCTTATGAGTGTGAAATAATGAATATGTTGAGCACATTGGAACCATGGCCTCCTCCATATGGTGATTGCACATAAAAGCCACCCAAGGGATCTTTAGGGAAACAACAAATACATAAAAGACATATCAGGCCTACTATTTACGTGACATTGTGAAACAAGCTAAAATGGTAATATAATACGTACCTAGAGCTTGATAAAATTTATTGGTTTGTTGAACAATGAAGTTAGTATGATCTTCTCCATTTCTTTTATAATAGCTCCCACTTTTTGTGTGAAATGTATGCGATGGTGAGAGCTGTGGCCATAAGGTCGTTGTAGCATCTCCACTTTTCCATGTATGCACTTTGAAATGCTATTAATATGATAGTTTCCATCTACGATAATCAGCTATACCTTCAGTATTCATATTAAGAGACAATGTAGACTATCCATATGCCATGTAATTACATTAATAATTTTTATATAATGTGGGACATGTTAAATTCTAGATAGAAAACCGAGGAATAGCTAGTGATTTTCCTTTTGTGGATCCTATTTCAATGGGAACTTGATGAGTCGATCCACCTGGTAGTCTTGCTTTTACTGGTATGCCCAGAGTTACTTCCGGATATTTAGATAAAAAAACCTTCACAAAAATACCCTTCTATTTATGTTACTGTCTTGAAATAGTTTTTGTTGTCAGTACAGGCCTAACAGAAGCTATGTTCCTTGAGCACAAAGATGTCTACCTTGAGTGTGAACAAGCCTCTTTGAGACAACTTTACAAAGCAAAGGTTTTAACATAGATTTTCTCTCTCTCTCTCTCTCTGTCTGTCTTTGTGTCTCTCTGTTCCATTTTCATAGATTATGCCATACAGATGGAGGAATTGCTTGCTGAGGCCCAGCTATCAGCTGACTCAATTGGACGTTCCAAAGGAGCTCCAATATCATCTTCCAACCAGCAGATATCCGTTACAGTGGTAACAGAGTTTGTGAGTTGGAATGAAGAAGCAATTTCAAGATGCAATTTGTTTTCACCTCAGGTAAATTTCATTGATGCAAACTGCGGATGTTAAAATTCATAAAGTTGGTCTCTTCAGGACTCCTCAGTCCTCATGTAGAGCTCAATTACAGTGTATATTGCATTGTTTAGTACTTGCTATTTTGGGGCTGAAGGATTGTGGTTTCTTAATGTCTCAGTTCCTGTTTCCGTTGGTAAACTGTTGTAGCCTCGTGATAAAGTAGACAGGCTTTTCATTTTTGGACTGAAGTTGCTTAAAGATCATGTGCAGTTTAAGGGGTGCTCATATGGGCCATGCTACTCTCCCCTTCCAGTCGATTCTGCCATCTCCATATATTCACTATCCTCTTTATTCTCTCTCTCTCACCCCCCCCCCTTGCCTTTCTCTTCTTTCTCGATTCCTTCTTTTCCCTTTTCCTTCTACCTTCTACACACACATGGATCTTGGAAGAACAGAAAAGAGAGGGAGAGAGAGAGAGAGAGAGAGAAAGGACAAAGATATTGCTCCAATTGCCAAATAGATATTGGAGGAAGCAACCTGTGATGCCATGGTCTCAATCTCTCAATTGCCAAAAACTAGAAAACCTACTCATCCTTCTCACCTAATCATCGTCTGTTGTATATATTTTATCCTTCCAATACAATGTAGCAACATTCAGCTCTAGGTTCTGCCTCGTCATTCCACTTTCAGTGCCCTCCTTTCAAGTTAGGTCTTCCTATTTTGTTGTCCACCTTCTTGAAAAACATATTTATAAATTTTATCATCCAATGTGTGCCTCTAAATGAGATAGCAAGTTTGTATCTTTTATTAATTTCCGTGCCTTCTTCTCTACTAAGAAATATGCCCAAGAGTAAAGAAGATAGTATGATTTTAAATCATGCAGTCATAATAATTCTGTAAAGTTCAAGTGGATGGATAGTTACTCCTGTTTGGAAGTCCATCTTTTTCATGTATTATTTGGCGGAAACGCTAAATAAATGAATTGGTCCAAAATCCAGACTGATTGCAACGCGTGAAGCCATATGGTGTGGCTATTGCCCTGTCATCAATTATCTCAACTGTTAAACTAACAACATAGTAGTTGCACTTCATTAAAGCAAGCCATTTTCGTTATTATTCTCGGATCACTTTTGCATCATGAACCCTATACCTCAGTCCCTCACTGTTAACACACATGTAACAAGTCCATGACTGTTAGCCATTGCTTCCATTGCACTTCGTTCTTGTTTTTTGTGGAAACAATAGGTGCCTTTTACCAATTTGGAATATAATCCCTCTCATGCCAGAGACCATTGAAACTGCAAAGGTCCTTATGAACTTATCTCATCAATAGCAGGCAAACAGATAGTCATGTGATTGCAACTTGCCCCTTTGGAAATTTAATCGGAATTTCATTCCTGGATCACATATAATGATACAAAACCAAAGCATATAAAATTATATTTAGACATTTATTTTATGAGAGACCTTTACCAAGTTCATGTTTTCTTTTTGGCATTGATATCATAGAGAAGTCGATAAATCCAAAGGAGTAGCTATGTTCTAAAAGGATGGTGGTGTTACTGAATGTTTGGAAAGAAACATGTGTACCAACGAGCAGTTGACAGTAGTTAGTGTGAACTTGGGTTTGATAGACTGAGAACGACAGTAACCATTAAGGCATGCATTTTACCACTCTAGGTAGGCAATGATACTCGTGTTTTAATTTCAAATATATCATGGCAGTTATTAAATGTGAATCCATTAAATATTTTTCTCAGAAATTGTTCTGGTAGACTACGTGGAAAAAATGGGTTTGGAAACATAAAAATATTATGTTAATTTTCATGTGATTGTGACAAGTTTTTGCTGCAAAAACTACCTGATAGTTGTTCTTTTTGGGGCTTATCTCTACATTTTCAGATTGATGTTATCTAGTTGCGGATAAAGGTGTCAAATTTTGAGGATTTAGATACTTGTAATCCTTCTTCTTGTTTGTATTTATGCAGCCTGCTAGTCTTGCGGCTAATGCTAAAGCTGTGTTTACATGCCTTCTAGACCACGTAAGTTGTGAATATATAGCTACTATGTGTCATCTTGTATACATGTGGTCGTTTTCCTTTTCCATCTTTTCATTTTACAGATCAGGCAATATACAACAGAACGGCTTGAAAAAGCTAGAGACGTCCTCAGGGAAGCTGCTTCTCAGAGGGAGAGGTTTGTGCTTGGTCGAAAAGCGGCTGCTGCTGCTCCAGCTGTAATTCTTCTCTATCCATGCCTTAATCATACATACATACTATGAAGCTCTATTTTAACAAGAGATAACGAGTGAAAAGGAGATCATTTGCGTAGCCATGACAAATCAAATTCAACATGTAGGCAGAAGCTGCTGCTGCTGCTGGTGAAAACAGTTTTCGATCTTTCATGGTTTCTTTACAAGCTTGTGGAAGTAGTGTGGCTATAATTCAGCAAGTATGTCCACTTGGTTTTCTGTTTACTAACGTCACAATTCAAATGCTTCTTTAAAATTATTTTGGATTATGTTTTGCTTCTGTCAGTACTTTGCTAATTCTATTTCGAGGCTTCTATTACCCGTGGATGGTGCACATGCTGCTACCTGTGAGGAAATGGCAGCAGCTATGTCCAGTGCAGAGGGTTCTGCTTGTAAAGGGCTACAACAGTGCATTGATACAGTTATTGCCGAGGTCTCAAATCAAACTTTGACTTCTATAATTCTTTTCAAGTGGAATTGCCATAGCCATATTTATATCATTTGCATTAAGCAGGTGGAAAGGTTACTTTCAACCGAGCAAAAGGCTACAGACTATAAGTCACCAGATGATGGACTCATGGGGGATAATCGACCTACAGTTGCATGTACAAGGTTTGTGCAGACTAATAAACTTGTGGTTGAATCTGCAGAGTTGTTTTCTTTTTCCACTTGTCTGTTTTTATTCTTATCAATATTGAATTATGATTTTTGCCAGAGTGGTGGCATATCTCTCACGAGTGCTCGAGTCCGCATTTACTGCACTAGAAGGTCTTAACAAACAATCTTTCCTAACTGAATTGGTACGACTAAATTTCTTCTGTGACTTTTCTCATTGAAGTCACTTCTTCATTCATTAGTGCATGAGAGGTGTCACTGATCTTTATACCCTACAACGTTTTTTTCGTAAGATGCAATTGATGATGCTATTCCACACATTGTGAGTCGATTACCTTATGTGCAGTTATTCTGGAATGTTTTTGGCCTTAATACAAGCACATTTGGCATTGGTTTATGGTCTTATTTTCCAGACTCCGTAGTATTTGGTTCCATTACTTGCAAGAAAATTGGACTTTTATGCTTACTATCCCATTAGTCTTGTAAAACTTGCAGGCCTTGTTCTCTTCACATGGTAGATGGATAACGCAATTTCTTTGATGGTACAGGGAAATCGCATGCACAAAGCACTGACTACTCACTGGCTGAAGTTTGCTTTTAATGCCAGGTATCATCATGGTTTAATTTAAACATCCACTTCTTATCACATAAACTTGCATAGGATAATTGCTCTTCACAATGAGCCGTTTGAAACACTGTTGCACAAATAGATATTCTTTTCTTCTATAGTTGCGCAGATTATACAAATTCAAAAAATGGAATACATTTTGCATAGACATGTGAAGAAAATAAATTTATATGTCGACAGTTTGTTATATCCTACATAACTAAAATGAGTATGCCGCCAATGATATGAAATTGATCACAAAACAGAAAATTACAAATTGACAGAAAGTTTGAAGGAGAACTAGAATCCGAAACAGAAATGTAAGAAAGGTTGGAAACAACCCTTCAATATATTATGGTTTGTTATCTTTGGTTGGATCAAATTACGAGTTCCTTGTGGTAAATACTTCAAGCTAACTTCATGTTACTTCTGTTTCTATCCCTATTGTAATGAATACTGGCTAGCATGACTCCAAAATTGTTTGCCATGATGCAAATTGCAAGCGTTTGGAAGTACTTGTATTTCTTTGGTATGTTCTTAACAATATATCATCCTCTTGGTTAATTTCATTGCGTCCTACTAATCTCAACAACGTAACTAATTTACCAAAGTCACCTACGAAAAAATGTGTTCTTGGAATTTGCTCTAAGTCTTTGTACTTCTAGTACAGTTTCACTTGTGTTTTCATCTATGCTCTTCTATCCCTCGGTTTGTAGTGGAGGACTGAGGCTTAAACGTGACATCACCGAGTACGGGGATTTTCTACGAAACTTCAACACGCCTACAGTTGACGAGAAATTTGAATTGTTGAGCATGTAAGTTTCTTGCTTGTCTTTAGGGAAGGTCTTCTGCTTAGTATGCATTTTTCTTAAATTACTAATATAACCTTTTAATCTTCAGCATGGCCAATATCTTTATTGTTGCCCCTGAAAGCTTGTCAAGTCTGATTGAGGGCACACCAAGCATAAAAAAAGATGCCCAAAGGTAAATAGTTTCTTTCAAACTCATTTTCTGGATCCAAGTTTATACATATCTATATGGTCATGAGAAATGAAGATGAGACTCAAAAAATCGCTATGGAAGAAAACGGATGTAATCAAAATAGTTGCAATCATCTGAAACTTTTTGTGAACGGGCATCCACGTCGACAAGTGTTTCATGATCAAGAGGTTACCGGTTAAAATGGTTACAAAATAGGAAATTTTGAAACTTTATTACATTAAAAATTCTTCATCATATAAGCATGCTATATTATTGAATCATCACACACTCACTATTTAAGTTGATAACCCATTTTACATTTTTTCAAGTAGCTTTCCATTTTGGATCCAAATTTAGGTTCGTTCAGCTTCGTGATGACTACAGAAGTGCGAGGCTTGCATCCAAACTCAGCTCTGTTTGGGCTTAACCCATCCTTGCTATGTTTTGAGTTTATCTGTTTACTACAAGATCAGGCCGGTGGCTGAGTTCATTACAAGCAGTGTATATTGGACAAATATAAGGTACATTTTTCGTGTATTCTTCTTCTATGTTCATTTTTGGGTTTAGATTTCATCAAGGCTTCAGGGTCCATGTCATATTTTAAGTGTCAAATGATGGACAGGCTCGGTTGTTGTTACTTGTTTATTGCATCTCTTAAATATACATACATACATATATATATATATGTATATATATATATATTAGAAGAATAACCATGAGTGTTTGAGGTGGCATCATAAGAATAGTGTATTGAGGTATTGGTGTTTGTGGTTGAGTTTGAGATATCCCACATTGGTGAAGAGTTAAAATATTTAAAGAAAATGAAGTATAAGAAAGGTGGATTGGATGACTTTGTGTCAAATCATTGAGTTTGCCTTACAAGGTTGTCTTATTTTGGATGACCGTCTTTGAAATCTATACCATGGGTGGAATCAAAACCAACTAAATAGTAAAAATTATAGTGCAAATATAAAAGTGAAACCAAGGATGATGAATTGGCAACATGAGGTTTAAGTGTTCCTCAAATCTGAAATAAGATTGATTTTCATCATCTCACATTGGTAGACAGATGATAGTTTGGAAGAAGATGATGGATGTATAAATGCGAGATAGAGCTTTGAAATCTATAGCTATGGTTAAATTAAAACCAACCAATTGGTAAAAGATTTATGCAAAACGAATGCAAATGATACATTTTTTTTCTTAACAAAATTTGTGATTATTGCAGTATTTATAATAACAAATGTAGTCTAAGTATCTATTATATCACTTATATATAGAATGAAATTGTTGACTTAATGACGTGCTTTCATCTTATGTTAGTATTATCTGAATCGTGATTTACGGTGTTGGACGGGGCGTTATAAATATAAACACGATCCCGAGTTTTCAGACACATTGCACTTCCGCTCGAGTCGAGGATTTTACATTTTTTTTAAATTGAGTTTTGATCACCAAGCAAACCAAGAGGTATTGATGTGAAATCATGAGTATTGAGTACTGAGGCGTTGGGGAATTGTAGTTGAGTTTGTGATATCCCATATTGGTGAGAGATTGAAAGATTGGAATAAGGAGGTATGTATAAGTAGGAAGGATGAAATTCATTGTGTCAACTCATGAGGCTTGATAATAAGGTTAACTTACTTGGATGACTCGATTTTTATATCATTTAATTTATATCAATTGACTTTAAAATAACAATGAAAAGTAATAATCTGACTTTAATATATATTTTATATTATAAAGTTGAATTAAAAACTTTAAAATAATATAAAGAACAATTTATTGATTGTTTTAGTTTGTTATAATTAAAATTGAATCTATGATAACCTCTTAGATTAACTAAACTTGATTATATGATTATAAGTAAAATAAAATAAAATAAAATAAAATAAACCTATATGTAAAGAAGTTRCATGTTAACGTATTGCCGCAAATTCATGAGAATGTGATATATTTGAAGACAGAGGTAAGTATATGGAAAAAGGAAAAAATGAATTTGAAATCAATCATTAGCTAATAACAATATTAATATAATATATTAAAGGAGGAACCAAACAAATAATACAAAATATATAGCCATGGTTGAAATCAAAACCAACCAAATAATACAAAATAAGGAAGTGAATATTTAAAAAGAAGTTAGATATCTTATAATACTAAGAGAGTTTGTGCAATTTTTAGTTTGTCCTTTTTTTTGGCCAACCATCTTTTATAAAAAATTATATATCAAAACTAATATAAAAAATAACATAAAGTTGACGATAAATCAAAATCATAAAATTGGTCGAAGTTATAGTTATAAAAAATAGTTATATATCTATAATCTTTATTTTTATCTATATAAAAAGCAATAACAATGGATAATCAGGTGACAACTTTTAAGCAATATAAATCATTTTGTTCCTCACATTATTGTCTGCATCCCACATTGGATCAAAGAAGAAAGAGACACGTGAGAGGTGGATACAAAAAGAAAAAAGCCAACATTTTTCTCAATATTGTTTGCATAATTGCATCCCGCATAGCAAGATGGAGTGAAAGTGGCAAGAGGGAGATTACTACAAAAAAAATGACTAAAAATGGAACAAACATATTTTTCTCGGATGTCGACCTTTTGCTTAAGATCAAATGTAGTATATGTTTTTAGTTTAACATATCTATTCCGAATCTTAGGTTTTTTTTTTTAGATCAAGTATATTATATGTTTCTAGTTTGATATCTAATATATGAGTTTTCAAGCTGCTTGGTATTTTATTTTGTATATGAGAATGCCCATTATACTACTTGGTGGTGTAGTTATTTATCTGTCGTCTTGGTGTTACTACTATTAAGGTTTGATATACCTCTCTAATTACAATTTAAATATTATAAAATGTTACGATAAAGTGTAGTATTTGTTTTTATTAGTTTAATATCTAATATGTGGGTCATCGACCCCATTTGATATTAATTTTATTTTTTATGAGGAAAAATCCACTATCTTAACTTGGTGATGTGGTTTTTCATGTATCTTATTGAACTACTGATGCTACAACTTACGCACTCCTCTAATTTTCACTTGAAATATTATAAAACGTTTCTTTTTCATAACTTCAAATAAGATTTCAATTAAATTTGTTACAAAATGAACATCATGATTTTGTCACCTTATATGAGATTTCAGTTAAAATTGTGACTTCTAATTAAACAAACTACTAACATTAGTCAAACATTTGTAGAGTACTTTGTAACACCATTCTCGAACATAGTTAGATAACTTAAATTAACATATGGTTTTAAAATTGTTGTCAACTTCTCTTAAAAACTTTTAATGTTAATGCGTAGTTGCCACACATTTGCCTAATTTTTTTAGAAGGGGCTTTAAATTTTAGTCTATAACATTTCTTTTGAAGATGATATTATCACTACCACACAACACACGGTTGGAACACTAGTTAGTATAAAAATGGTACCTTCAAATGAACTTCCTTTTTCATACTGTAATCTGAACACTCCATGATCATTCTATAAATTGATTCACTTCCATATTTAAGGGGCTATTTACCATACACTTACTCGATAAGCGTTTACCGGTAAAATTCTCCACGGTAAGCGCTTACCGTGGTAACAGTCATCGCTCTCAATTACTGGGTAAGACTCTTGATGTCTTTACCGGATAAGATTCTTGATCTTTACCATATTCATCTCGCTCTTACCGGATAAGATTCTTGGTCTTTATCATATTCATTCGGTAAGATAATGAGACTTGATGTTCACTTACCTGAATAAACGTTTGGTAAACGGCCCCTAAGATTTGCCAATCATGAGATGTTTTTGGAGGGTTTTGTTGGTTATACAGGTGAAATATACCGATAACTTGATGATGCAAATGTCTAAAAAAGAATGCCAAATTGGAAAGGAATGTGCAATTATTATAAAAACTAAAAGACGTGTAAAAACCAGGGTCCGATGCTAAATTTGGTTTAACTATTGACCTGTTAATAAAGATTGATTTGCCAAATGTTATATTTAAAATTTAAATAATAAATAGAAAATAATGAAATGGCATCAATAGAACTTTTTTTAAAGTTCCGACTTCTGATTATACAACCCACCCCACCCCACATTAACCTTACCGGTGTCAAATCGGTAATAAACAATTTTGAGTTTTTTGGATAAACAATTTATATCGGTGCCAAACCGGTAATAAAAAGTTTTTGAAGAAGTTAAACTCTTCTGACTTATAATAAGTTGATAAATGCTTTTATAGAAAAACATAAGTTGTTTCAAATAAGCAATCCCAAAACCCGGGAAGGGGAAGGGGAAGGGGAATTGGCTGAAATAATTGACTATTTGCAGGCTTCATTTTGGGGTAAAATTGTTCGGCCAATCTTCATAATCTACATGGAATGTAATCGATGATGTGGATATAATGCATTTCTTTTTTGGTCATGTCTTTTTTATTGTTACCCGTTACCTCCTAAACAGTTCAAGTAAATGTAAAGTTTGTTACAAACTTTCAGATGAAAATTTTAAAAGTTGGTTTTCTAAAATAGAAATAAACTGAAAGTTACATTTTGATATAATTTTTTCTACTATAAACTTAGTATTTAATTAAATCTTTAAAAATTTGTTGTACGTTACTTATTATAAATATTTCTTTCTTCAATCAAATTTGTATGTGTCAATTGCGGAAAAAGGTAAATCATGTTCTTGGTTTATTTTGAGCTCAGAGAGTGTTTTGATTTGCGCAAATAAATTATAATCTCAATACAGTAGTCAAAAAAACTTAAAAATTGTAATATGACAGTTAGAGAGGATCAAAAATCGGGTCCCAAACACTATTTCGTAAGCGGTTTCGGTCCCGACTAAAAACCCAAGGCCCAATTAAGGTTATTCATAACCGGTTATGAGAACTGGTCTTGAGCTGGGTCCAAATTGGTCCTAATTTTTTTTCTTCCAAAACTCATATTTGAACATAAAAGAAATAGTGTTTGAATTCTTTTTGACAATATCTTATTGAAATACACTTTAAAATCCCTAATTAAGTCATTCAAATTTTTAAAAATATTTTTTAAAATCTTTTTATACAAAAATGTTATAAATTTTTTATACTTACGATTTTTTAGATTTAGTATTGAAACACTTACAAAAACTTGAAAGACGTCAAAAAAACTTAAAAGTTTTTGTTAAAAAAAAAAACTTAAAAGTTTTTGTAAAAAAAAACTTGAAAATCTTATAGAAAAAGTTGATATATAATTTAAACAAACTTAACTTTTTCTTTTTTAAAAATCAGGCACATGTATAACTGGTTCAGGTCGAGCCATGAAAATTCCTAAAAATTGTAACAGGTTGAGAACCGTCGGGCTGGTCCCAGGCCGGGTCAAGCCATCTCTAATGACAGTTTGGTAAATAAGACAATAGTGTACCTACGCCTTGTTATTTTGTCCTTGGACCAGACTTTGTAATTGGTCCCTTAACCAATACAGTTTCAAAAAATCTCAATCGATAATAAACTGGCAATACGTCGAACTGTGTCCATCCAAAACCGGTCCTTGTCCTTGATGAACATAATTAGTGCCAATGCTAACAATCTCCACAACAAAACTCCATCCATGTTGTACAGCAATCTACACTTGATGAAAGTAGTGCAAATTTGAACATATCTGGTGACCAAAATAATAGAAGGAAGGGGAACATGGACATGTAAATGAATTGAACTCATAATAAAAAGTGATATATAACTCTCAAATGATAGTTAACAAGAAACCAATGCAATTGAACAAGTGCCTAAAATTAAGGTTATAAGACTCAAGTTGTATTTAAAATGAGTTGGATTGAGTTTGTGTTTATGTCAACAATTACACAAAATAATTGAAAGTTGAATTGTTGAGCTAATCAACTATAAATTAAATCTTTGAAATAAATAAGACAAATAAATAAGACTAAGTATTTCGGTGATGCGGAAAACCCATCGAGAGTAAAAACTGCGGACGATCGGACATATTGTCGATGCATTATAGACAACAATCGAGGATATTGTCCTTAATAACAACAATCGCTAGTACAAGATATGGTTAATACGTAAGTAGTAAGTAAACTTAAATAATAGTTTTGGTAGCAAAGAATTCTTTTGAGAGAAATTGGAAGCAATTGATTTGGTGTCCATTTCAGCGGAGTGGTTCTTATATTTATATGTGGTAGGGGTGCTCATGGGTTGGGTTAATCGAATTGAAGACATTTGAACAATCCAATCCAATGTTTGCGGTTTGAAAATTTTCAATCCAACTCAAACCAAAGTGCAACCCAGCCCAACTCAAACCGTACAGGTTGGTCGGTTGATGCTTTGGTACATCAAAATAGTCTCCTAACATTGAATATGTTGTTTTCTCTAGTCTACTCATGATTTCTTTTCATCATCAACCATTTGGTACAACTTATTCATACTTTTTAAATCTTAAGTATATCGCATTCAATTAATTTTCTCAATTTACATATATATGTTCACAGTTGCTGAACATATATATAAAGGAGTTATATAGAGTTGGAGAATAGATTGAAAATATATGTATATGAAAAAGGTACGTGATGGTGTAATTGTCTAATGTACATATTAGTAGAGACCCAACGATTATATTAAATCCAAGAACTAAGAACATACTAGGTTCCTATCTCGATACATGCTAATTCTATAGTGTGATATATAACATACCCAACTATCATTCTGTCACCTAGTTACAGAATGATTAGAATAAATTTCAAAATACATTACAGACACATAACAAACTCCATGTTCTCAAGTCAAAGAATTACATGTACATTGGCCATATGAGAAACACTTATGGCACTCACATGACATCCAATGAAGTGTTCTCATAACGAGTCACGTCCGATACACAAAATCTCCATTTTGTACCCATATGCATATTCGATATCTCTATATTAATCCCTACATATGCTAGTCATTATCATATTACTTCAACCTTAAACCCGAAATAATATTTAACTAGGGACATTTAGAATTTCATTATTCTAAGGTTATTTATTGTGAGTAATTAAAACACAGAATATAATATAGACATAATAAAATAGGCAATGCCTTTATATTTATTAATTTCATGAAACAAAACTCAAAGTTACAATCATCATATGATTGGTTTTTGGGCATTCACTAACAACGCTTTATTGGTCTGATTGAGCATAAGTTGATTGATTTGAATTTCCAGATTTCTGATAGCGGCACTTTGCTGATTAAAAAGAGATTGATTTTGGGTCATCAAGCCTTTTATCATAGCTTCCAAAGAAGATATTGATTCAGCTTGTGGAGGTGGTTTGTTTTGAAGAGATGGATGGCCAATTTTGAAAATTCTGATGATGATTTTGAGAATTTGAGCTGCTTGCATGATGTTGAGGTTGAAAATTAGAGGTTCCTTGTTGCTTATGAATTGGTGGATTTAAACTTGGACTGTTCCAAGAAAAATTTGGGTGTTGTCTCCAACTGGCATTGTATGTGTTGGAATAAAGATTAATCTATTATGAACATAATTGACAGATTCAGAATTATGAGGACAAAGTTCATAAGAATGTTCCCCTCCACAACAAACACATTGCACTGAGAGGACTGCTGGAACATGTGTAGTAACAGTTGGCTGCACTCCTTGGCCAAAAGTTAGGTTTTTAAGCATATTGGTCATGGAAGTGAGTTATGCTGTTGATGTAGTGTATGCATCTACATCATGAATTCCGGTTGTATTCTTTTGCGGTTGGGCACATGAATCAGCCCAATGTCTATTGTTTGCAGAAATCTTTTCAAGAACTTTATACCCTTCATTGTAGGTACTAGCTGTAAAGGCCCCTCCTTCAGTTGCATCTAACATCTGTCTAGCCATGGGACTTAACCCATTGTAGAATATCTCGAGTTGAATGCAGTAAGGAATGTCATAGTGAGGGAATTCCCTTAACAGCTCTTTAAACCTCTTTCATGCATCAGGAACAACTTCATTGTCCATTTGTTAAAAAAAACAAATTTCATTTCTAGACTTAGTGTTCCTGGTGGGTGGAAAATATTTTAGCAAATTTTTTTGGTAATGTTGCTCCATGATGATACAAAACATGGTGGTAATGAATTAAACCAAGACTTTTCCGATCCTGTAAAGAAAATGGAAACAAAGTAAGTCTTAGAGCATCGTTAGTCACTCACGGGATCAATAAGGCATCAGTAATTTCCTTGAAAGATTTTAGATATGAGTGAGGATCTTCCGATAGTAATCCTGCAAATTGTCCATTGGTTTGAAACATATGTAACATGATCGATTTAAGCTCAAAATGGAGGGCAGTCATATGAGGTCTAACTATCCATGAATTCAATTGCTCAAAATCAGGAATAACGTAGTCCATGATTCTTCCATTTTTAGAGTTTGCAAGATTAATTATATTTGGAGTTTAAGCTCTTGGATGGTCATTATTTTCAGATTCCGTATCACTATGTGCATCTTCATGATTTGGTGGCCGTTGTTGAAAAAGATGTCCTGGTGGGTTTTGAAAAAGTGGTGCATTTGGAAGAAAAGGCTGAAATTGTGGTATTTGATCAAAGGCTGGTGGTTGATTTTGAATTGGTACATCATTGTCAATTGGGGGAGGTGAAACCATATTAGGAGGGAGTAGAGCAGAAAATGCACTTTGAGCCCTTCTATTTTGGCAGAATATTCTCTCAATATCTGGATCGAATTCGAGAAAATCCCCATGGTGTATCTGTGGCATACACCTCTTAAAAGTGGATCAAATGGTGTTAGAAAAATTAAATCTTTAAAGTTACTTTCGAAAAAAACTTTTAGCTTGCCAATCCTCGACAACGACACCAAAAATTTGACAGTGCAGTATTCACACACCTACAGACTTAACAACTAGGACCAAAAGCAAGTATACAATTAGTCCCAATATCGTCTTTCAAGTAATAAAGTGGTACAAGTACCGGATTCGTCCATAGAGATTGTAGTAAAATTTCAGTTAAAGTAATATTAAGGAAATGATTTCAGAAGGCGAATTTGAAGACTTTGATTTTATCTTGAGTTAACACAACTAAAAATTAACAGGTAATAACATGGAATACAAGAAATCCATGGTGTAAGACTTAGGGTGAGATGTAAATACTCTTTCCAATAAATCAATGCTGTCAAAATGCTACAACATGAGACCATGCTGACAAATTGCTACAACATGCAATTAGTAAGAAATATTTTCACCATTTATTTTGAAAGTATTCCTCTCGGACTTCACCATTGCACTGATATTATATCTTTCAACCCATATCTCTATGAGGTATCCAGACTAGTGAAAGTGACAAATGGTGTCCTCAAAATATACGGATAAACAAATCTCTTTGTTAAAAATCACTCGCTCGAATGGATTCCTATATCATTCAAGTTGATGTGTTCTGAATGGCTCATCTTTGAGTTCATTCCACTTTAACACTTCAAAGTGATCAACCTGTCGAGATTTAACAATTTAGAAAATACGGATAACAAATCTGTTTGTTAACAACTCTCTCAAATTTACTTCCCACATCATCCAAATTGACGTGCAATCAATGGCTCATCTTATAGTCCATGGCACTTTAACACTTTTCAGTGATCAACTTCTCAGGAAGTGTCATTGGTTTTATAAAACTTGAAATGACACAATAAAACATTGTTGTTACATAAAAGGGTCTACCTTATTTGATTTACAAACTCACCATTTCCGTCTTACACCCAAGCTAAGATTTTTAGCTACTCATAACGAAAAGTAAATTTGCAAGAAATATAAATTGCGGTAAATAAAGACATAAAAATAAACAATGAAAAGTAAATGACGGAATATAAATAGCGGAATGTAAAGAGTGGAAAGCGTAATAAATAAACAAAGGAAATTAAAGAGTGGAAAGCGTAATAAATAAATGACAGAAATTAAAGAGCGAGAAATAAAGAACAATAAAAAGAAATCTTGAAAGAGAAGTTCACCAAAAGTTTACTTCTATTTCTAGGGAGAGAAATTACTAAAAGTAGTGAGATAATGGATTAGCAAAGGGATGATCAAAACATTAACCCCAACCTCTCTACTTATATTAAAATAGAAGTGAGGGAAAAATAGACAATTAACACTAATCTAGAGTTAAAGTAGCTAAAAGTACAACTAAAACAAATAGTTAAAGTCTAATTATATCAAACTTAGCGAACAAGTTTCTAGCTAATTAAAATAATATAGCTGGTAATACACAAATGCCATTCAAAAAGTTAGCTCTTGTCATGTCAATAAGCTCCATGTTCTCTCTCCTCCCTTTCTTCATAGCCAGGTCATATGGCAGTAGTCCCGTAGCATCAAACAGCTTCAATCTATCCAGAACAAGTTCATATTAGCCCACTATATAGCAAGAACAGGTAAATCATTTATCTTAGCTTCATAACAAAGATGTGAAAAATAAAGGAATAAAGTGACTCAAAATTGGGATATAAATGAAAAATGTTCTATCTAAAAGAGAAGAAAAGAGTGTTTGAGTACTAAATAATTAGTGCGTATCAATGCCACCCCAAACCTTTCCTTCACATTGTCCCAATGTGAAAGCTTGGTTTATCAAATGCCAATTATTGTACACGGAAAGCATAAAAGGTGATTCATGAGATATTAAGTACCATAGATACATTCGTTTAGTATAGTCATCCGACAGTAGTGAAATAACAGACTTGGAGACATCAAGTACAAATCAAAAGAGAAAATAAAACCAACTCTCATTGGGAGGGTCCTGTCTAATGTGATGATGTGTCAGCATCTTGTTTGCGGTGTTGAGCCAAATATCTCTCCTCACCAGTCAAATATCCCTGACTGTAGGCTCGGCTAGACACTTGGCTCTCGATTTTCCTGACACACATCCAGATATATGCTACATATTCATGGGTGCAATCGACTTTCTCTCCACCCTCTGTATTGTCTGGTAGATTCAGATTCGCCCATGGAGGCATGTCCTGCCTAACCCTCATTGGTGCTGCCTAGGATGTGGAGCCGGGCAATCCCTTGGGCTCGTAATCCTCATCATGATCCTCTGAAGATGGAAACTCTGCCTGTTCTATGGCCTTTGCTTCATCAAGCAACCTCACGCTTTCATAATCGTATTGGTGCAAGGCTTCCATCTTAGCCGCAGGGGAAATTTGATTCTCGTAATCCTACCGATCCAAGTCAAAATGTAGGTGGTCTAGCCGGTGAAGAGGTATAGCTGCACATTCATAGAAATGTGTTATCATACAAGGAAAAGGAAACACCCCCTTTGTCCAAAGGGGTTCTGGCATCCACCATTTCTAGGTGGATAAAGTAGCTTATATTGAGAAGGAGGCCATACTGGATGCAATATAAAACGGTGGATACAGCTAAATGGTAATAGGTATAATATTTGGATGGTTTGATCGATGTTTTAAGGAACAACATCCAAAACGCTACATCATAGCGTAGCTCGATTTTCTGTATCCCTTGTAATGAATTCCAAAGTGGTTCCCCGTTTTGGCAAAGATCCTGGGCGATCTTCGAGTTATATTACAATGTTGTTTCTACTCTTGGACCGAAATGGTTGCTATCCTACATAGCATATCTGGTGTGTGGGTTGTGGGTGTTGGAAATAAGCGTTGATCGCCTCAACTGCAATGTGGACTGGATGACCATACACGACTATTGTAAAGAAATCATTGAAGACGCCTTGGTGCATGCAAACATAAAATTCTCGAACCACCACTTTGTCATAATCTCTTGTCATTCGTATGAAATGTTCCCATTTGAACCGAGCAATTATAGCAACGACAATTGAGTTGGCCGGCTTAGCTTGATGCCTTTCTTAGGGTATGCCTCACGATTCTCCATGATGGGATGATGTTGCTCTAGATTGTGATTTAGACAAACCTCAGTCGAGCTTTAGCCACCATGGACATCTTGTCATATTTGGGCCATTGAGACATGGTGGTGGTCGGTTTGGCGCTTCCCATTTCTTGTCAAGAAGATAGAGTGTAGTGAATGACAAGAGATCTCTACATTAGTGCACCCCAAACCTAGGTCGTGGCCTAGGTTGGCTGTAAGAACTTGACAACCCCAAACCTAGGTGAAATCTAGGTTTGGATTGTCTCTAAACCACAAAAGGATGGAATAGACATATAATACGTGTGTGGAATAGAGTTATGTGGTGGAAGCTTGTAAAACTGAGGACCCTAAACCTAGGTGGAATCCTAGGTTTGGAATTGTCCCCTGACATGTATCACCTAAAAATGAAAGTTGAATGAATATGTGTCTTATGATGCAAACCTTTATGCAAAACTGGGAACCCCAAACCTAGGTGGAAGCCTAGGTTTAAAATTGTCTCACGACATGTATTATATGAAAACAAGAATTCAGTGGTTTGAAATTGTCCCACAACATGTATTATATGACAACAAGAATTCAATGGATGTATTTTTAATCCTATGATGAATCCACAAAACATGGTCACACATAAGCATTGTAATATTTGGCATAAAAATCCCAATATTTAATGCACATGTATGGTCATGACCACCCGTGGAAACATCAATTAGGTGACTCTCCACATCTATTCATACATTGAGGAACACAAAGTTAAAAGTCTTTTCGCTTAGTGCAACATGCAATGGTGATCTTAAGCACAAAATGGAATCAACATGACCAAACATTACATCACATGTACTTTAAGTACTCTATTAGCATCAATTACCAAAAATCTCCATTAACTCCGTTCTTTAGGTGTGCAAAGAACAAACAAGTATGAGAAATTGATTTCATATGATAAAACTCGATGCATACTGTTGATCCCAGATCTCTCAATAACACTAATAAATAGATTATGAATAACCTAAATAAGTAGTGTGGATGAATAAATTGAAGAATACTCAAGAACAAATGATGAACATTCAACGCATATACTTGAGCACTAAAGATTCACTTCATAAAATAGAATGCGTGAAAACTCTCTCCAAGAGTCTTATTCTACAATAGGCCTAGCTACCTATTTATACTA